CGTGAGTGCTGTGCTGATGGGAAGCAGCCCTGGATGTAGGATCCTGCTCCCCATAGCCATGGTGGAGATGGCCTCACTGGCAGAGTCACCAGTTTGCTCCCAATGGCTTCACCCCAGGCTGATGGGTGACCTCATGGGTGTGAGGTGTGAGGAAGGCACATGCCCAGCCCCTGCCCTGCTGCAGCATCCCATCTCTTGGGGCTCTGGAGAGCTGCTATGACAGTTTGGAGCTGGTGCTGTCCCAGCTCCTCACCTGAGAGCCCCAGGGACCCAGCACTGGGTCTGTCTTGGCTGCCGCTGCTGGCACAGGAGCTGCATCCACAGTGCATGGCCTGGAGGTGTCTTGAGGACAAAATCCTGGCATGTGGCATCATTCTCTTGAGTCCAGTCACCCCGTGCACAAGGCAAGCAGCAGGCAAGGGCTGTGGGATAACTTCCAGGAGGATTGGGGCTCCTTCTGCCATTGGAGCCTCCCCAGGACACACAAAGCACTGCTGGAATACTCGTCACCTGCCACACTGCCACACATTCCTCAGCAATGTGGGGCTTTGACCTACAAGCAAACACCTTTGGATAATTTGGGAAAGCAGGATGATGGCACATCCCTGTGGCCGGGAGTGGGAGGTGTTTCAGTTCCCTGTGGATCCTCACATGCCAGCCTAGGCATGGATGTCATCGGTGCCGAGAGACCCCTGAGCTGCAGGAGGGAGCAGCCTGGAGAGGTGCTGGTGACCTGGCTACGCAGTTTCCCCAGACACAGGCTGTTTGGAGCTGGCTGATCTGCCGAAGAGGAGCTGACATCTGGGACAGCAGCACGTCACTTGTGCCATCCTGCACAGCGCTGGCCTCCGGGGCTCCCATGCCAGCAGCTCTGACCAGCCCGGGACGTCCCTGCATTGCGCTGGAGCAAGGCAGCTCCCTTTGGAGGAGGAGGAGATGGTGGTGTAGCTGAGATGGGGCGTTTGCCAGCGCTGTGTGGGCAGGAGCTGCCTGTGGCGCTGTGGGTGGATGCTCCTGTCCATCCTCCCACCCCTGGAGATGGAGCATGGGCAGCTTTGCTTCCTGCAGGGAGTGGGCAGCGTGGCAATGCTGCCTGCGGTGTGTGGTGACAGCGGGCAGGGCTGGAGGGCCAGGTCATAGCTGGTGTCCCGGGGCCCCGCCGTCTCGGGCTGGTGGCACTGGCTGAACTAGCCCACATTCAGAGCCATGCTGGCTGCTGCGGGGAGCTGGGTGGGGATGATTCTGCCTGGCCAGGGGCAAGCAGCTACAGGGATGTGCTGTGCTTGGGGTAAACCGCCATGAGAAGGTCTGTGGTGCTGGCAGGAGCTAACCTGGCTTTTATTAAAGCTTTCTTCAAAGCTCTGTTAAAGCCCTTCCAGATGTGAGCTGCCAGGAGCCGGGGACCCAGGGGATGGGGATGGGGAAGGCATATGTGATGGTTGCAATTAAACTTGTGCTTCAGGAGACACACAGCTCCCGACCTGTCTGGGCGTGAAGAGCTTTGCTGCTGCTGCCTGGGGCTCATAGGGTTGGATGTTGCCATGAGGAGGACTGGGCTGTGTGGGGAAAAGGGATGGGAGCCCCATGGGACAGGCAGCAATGGGCTGGTGTTGGCCCTGGGGGGTGGATGGGGATCTGGC